CATACTGGCATTTCTGTATAGTCAGCCATCTTATAGAGCTAAATGAAAGCTATGGTACACTTAAAAAACACTTAGGCTGAGTCTAGATCACAAGAAAATGGCAAAAAGAACTGAAAGTCTTGACTAATTGTGGTAATTTTCTGTGCCACCAAGAATTCCCAGAACCACACAGGAATTTTCCAGGCAGCCGTGCATTCCTAGGGGGAGGGATCGTGAAACTTTTGATCAAAGTAATTCTTGTAGAATTGGTTGCACTAGGTTTATTTCTCTCCTTATCCTTTCATGGATCAGAGAAATTATTTTCATTTTGGTTTTGGTTTCTCTCCTTTATTGTTTATTTCTTATTATAAAAGTAGTAGGTGATCATCATAAAAAATGGAAACAATGCAGAAGCATATTTAAAAAAAAAACCAAAATTTCCTCAATCATTCTGCTCAGAAGTAGCCGTTATTAAAAATTTGATGCCTGTCTTTCAGATCTTTTTAGGTATTTACAGACATAATACAGATATTTTGTGTCATAAAAATAGGATAATACCATGCATACTGTTCAACTAGCTTTTTTATCTATCATGGACATCTTTCCATACCAGTACAATATAGAGCTGCCTCATTCTTTTTAATGGCTGCATCATACCACGTAGTATGGAGATACCATGATTTTTTTTAACCATTCCCCGATGTGCGTTTTGGTTATTTGCACTTCTTTATTATTGTGAATAATGTATGAAGTATCCTTGAACAGACATCTTTTCACACTTGTGGAAGTGTTCCAAAGAGAGATTTGTAGAAGCAGAATTGCCAGGTCAAGCCTATCTATATTTAAATTTTTCATGGAAGCTGCGAAATTGTACTCCATGAAGGCTGGATGGAAAATACTGAAACTCTGAATAAATATTCATACTTAGTTTTCCTTTAAACTATTGTGTTCAGTGCAGACTTTTGGCCTTTAACGTTTCCCCTCTCAGCTCCTGGGAGTCTCAGTGCCTTTCCATGTTTATTGAAACCTGAAATCTGAGCAGGGGAGTGGGAATAGAAGAGTGAGATTAGCCGTAGATTGGTTTCTCTGAAGCGGGTGTGGCTTCGGTGAAGTAGGGTGGTGGTTGGGCTCTCAGGACCCCGCAGCTCCTGCCTTCTATAAGCCCTGAAACACTGAACAAGAGCTGTCTTGAAAGGAGCCCTGGGGGAGGGAGAGGGCGGGAGGGGCATTGACTGAACGAGCGCACTGTGCAGGGAAGGGGGTGGCCCTCTGGTTGAAGTTTGTGTTCTAATGGGGAAGGTAGACAATAACAATAAATGAGCAGGTGAGTGCATAATATATTTTTGTGTAGTGATAAATGCCGTGAAGAAGAATAAAGCAAATGCAGGGGAGCAGGGCAGCTGGCAGGAGGACTGTTTTACCTAGAGTATCAGGCACGGTCTTTCTCAAGATCGTTTGTGCAGAGACCTGAATGAATGGATGAGTGAACCAAGCTTAAGGTCTAGGGGAAGCGTGTTCTGTGCAGAAGGAACTCAAGCTAAAGTGCCCAGAATGGCCAGAAGCATGGTACGTTTAAGGACCAGCAAGGCTGGCAGTGTGGCTGGAGTGTGTGAGTGGGGGGCAGAGTGATGTCAGTGTGTGTATTAGTCAGGGTTCTCCAGAGAACCAGAACCAATAGGTATTCTTTAGATGTGTATAATTTATTTCTATGTTATGTGCTTATTACAAGTAAATATTACATACATAATATATAGATAATTATGGAGGCTGAGAAATTCCAAGATCTCTAGTCAGTAAGCTGAAGACCCAGGACAGCCAGTGGTATAAGTTCCAGTCCGAGGGCAGGAGAAGACTAATGTCCCAGCTCAACCAGTCAGGCAGGCCGAGTTTCTTCTTGCCTGGCCTTTTGTTCTACTCAGGACTTCAACAGATTATATGAGGCCCACTCACGTTGGGGAGGGCAGTCTGCTTTACTCAGTCTACCAATTCAAATGTTGATCTCATCTAGAAACACCCAGAATACAGATATACCCAGAATAATGTTTGACCAAATGTCTGAGCACCCCATGGCAGTCAAGCCGGCACATAAAATTAACCTTCACCATGTACTGTGCAGTAGCCAGGGCACCAGGTCATCTGGAGCTGTGCTGTTCAATATGGCGGCCACTGAGTTACTGAGCACTGAAAATCTGGCCAATGCCAGATGTTGAAGTGACAGTGAATATCTTGGGTTAAATAAAATACATTATTACAATTAATTTCACTGTACTGTTTACTTTTGAAATGTTATTACTGCAAAGTTTAAAATTACGTAAGTGGCTTGTATTATATTTCTATTGCATACTACTGGTGTGTAGGGCCTTGTAGGTGTGGTAAGGAGTTTGCATTTCACTCTGAGTGTCTTGGAGGTGACTGAAGGGTTTTGGGATAGGAATGACTCACTCTAACTTAGATTTTAAGTAATTCATCTGCTGCTGTGGAGAATAAGCTGTAGAGGGTCAGGAGTGGGAGCAGCAGACCTGACAGCAGGCTGTAGAAGGAGGCGGAAGGGGTGTGGGTGGCATGGGCTCTGCAGAGGCAGTAGAGGGGAGGGAAGTGGTCAGACCCGGGAGGTGTTCTCAAGCTTTGCTGTTGGGCTGAATGGGGACAGGGAGCAAAGAAACGAATCACAGTCACTCCTAGTGTTTTGGGCCTGAGCAGTGAGTGAATATTGGTGCCAATGACTGAGATGTGAGAGACTTGGGTAGGTTAACTAACTGCCGTGAAGCATTTTGAGAAGAGGAAGAACAAAGTAGGGGAGGAAAATACAAAAGGGAATTCAGGCCTTAGAAGAGATAAATCAACAAGACTAAAACAGTTTGTCCAAAGGCAGTAAAACAGAGGAGGTGAGGACAGGTGTGTAAGTGGAAGAGCAGAAGGCAGGTGGACAAGGATGGAGAGGGGGCCAGGCAGGTCCAAGGGCACAGGGGCACTAGTAGCTCAGTCAGCCGGAGAAGAAGAGCAAAAGAGAAGGAGGCTGGATCCGAAGACCTGCCTCCCTTTCCAAACCCCTGAAATGATCTCTCCCCCCCAATAATATATACACCCACACACATGTACTTGCATGTACACGTATGTATAAATAGTCCATGATAGTTCTTTTAAAGCTGTAAAGGGAAAAATTGACATATTTGAGCATATTAAAAGTTAAAACTACAATACAATGGAAGATACCATAAGCTTTAAAAGGTAAAAGGTGAGGGGGCCAGCCCTGTGGTGTAATGGTTAAGTTCACACACTCCACTTTGGCAGCCCAAGGTTCGCAGGTTCAGACCCCAGGCCTGGACCTAGCTACTGCTTGTCAAACCATGCTGTGGCAGCATCCCACATAAAGAGAGGAAGGTTGGCACAGATCTTACCTCAGCCACAATCTTCTTCACACACACACACACACACACACACAAAATAAAAGGCTGGAAAATATAATGTATGTAGCAGGCAAAGGATTAATATCTAGAATAAATGAAGAGTTCTTACACCTCCATAAGAAAAATGGGCAAAGGGTTTAATTAGGCAGTTTTCAAACCAAGAAATCTTTACATAACTAATATGAAACACTTCTCTGTGTCTGGCAAAAATTTAAATGGTTGAGACTTACTTCAATGTTAGTAGGGCATGGGGCATGTAGAAAGAATTGCCCTCACACACTATTGGTTGGGAGGGTGAATTGTTAGCTCCTGTTGGAGGACAGTTGGACTGTGTTTAGCAATATTTCAAACGAGCAGACTCTTAGCACTTCTGTGTATTTGTCCTGTAAAGATAGTGGTACATGTGTACAACAAAACAAGTAGAAGAATGTTTATTATAGCACATTTAGCTATTTGAGTAGCTAAAACTTGCAAACAATCTAAATGTTGATCAACAGGAGAATGGGTAAATGAATTATGGTGCATCTTGCCCGTTAATACAATGTGACATTTTAAAAATAAAAATACACTGATGTGAAAAAGATCTTTAAAAACGTAGGTAGGTAAAAAGAGATTGCAGTATGTGATTTGTTAATTAACAGCTATATTTGAATATGTGTGGATGTATTTATAAATACCTCGAAAAAGGTCTGGAAGAGTAGACGCCAAATCGCTAGCGGTGGTTCCCTCTGGAAGAGGAGAGAGGTTGCAGGGCTTGGGGAAGTGGGATGTTCGTGTCCTGCATCTAAGGATCCAGCCCCAAGATTTGTTTTGGAAACGACATAATAAACCGTGTTGAAGTGGAGGCAGGTCTAGGGACGTCCAGGTCTGTTGTTCTTCTAATCCTCCATCCATTGTTCTTTGACTTTGAGACAAAGGTGATGTGAAGGTGCAGGTCCGTGCCCAGCACGCAAGGGAGAAACGGCATTGTGCCCTGAGTGCCCCCGGGCATAATTTGAGGAGTGCCTACTCACTGTTCTTAGATATGGCCTACGCTCGGGTATCCCGTTCTGCTGGGACTGGCTCTGGCAGCAGGTTCCAGGAAGGCTCAGCTGCAGCCGAGAGAGCTAAAAAGCCCTCTAGGTCACTTCCGTGGACCAGCTGCCTGGAAATTAATTAGAGGCAGACCATGTCCCCTGTGGCTCGGCTCTCGATGATGCTGAAGTCATGAGCAGTTATGTTCAGCTACAGCTTCCTTCTCTGTCTTTTGAAAATTTGTTTCAGCGGAAAGAGACAGGCAGACCAAGTTGGTGGCTAAGGACGGTACAATTTTAATTCCCAGATAGTTTGTCAGGGTCATTGGGATGCAGTGATCTCCAGAGATGGGTGTTTTTCATCAAATCAGAGACAACAGGGTGCTTATTCTCCTGACCACTACAGCTATATCCCCTTTGCTATAAGCAAGTGTATCCTCCTTGAAGCACAGGGGGTGGTGACCATAGCAACAAATCATCCAAATATTATTTTGTTCTGTTTGCCTTTTGTTAAGCTTCTCTTCCCTCAAACAACTTGTGTTACTGCTTCAATTGTAACTAGCTCTCCTTCTTGCTTTTTCTCTTTTTAAACCGTATACAGGAACAAAGAAAGAAGCACAAAAAGATCAAGATGCTAATAAACCTGCTGTTTCATCTCCTAAGAGAACAACAGCTTCAGCCACCAAGCTTCATTCACCAGGTATTTAAGAAATATGGGCGGTGTTATCTGGGGAGGAGACTTGCACTTGGAATTTATTTTGTTCAGATGTTATTAATGGAGCCATGCCAGCCCATGTGGTGTGCGTGATTGTTCCAGGACTTGACATACATGTATATTCTGACTCTAGACGAAATGAACCAGCTGTTGGCATCGTTGTATCTTAAAAAGCAAAATGTTACCATGCTTTGTTTAAGTGGTAGGATCTTCTCTGTGTAGGAGTATTTGCTATGCCAACATCATGTAGAAATAATTTATAATTGAAAAACAGACTTTGAAGATCTAACCTCGGGAGAGAATGTTTTCTAAAAGGAAGAAAAACAGAGAAACAATGGATATCAAGTACTTGTTATTTTGTCAATGAGGAAACCATTTATTTACATTCAGATGTGAATAAGCTACATAATGTCACTTGGAAGTTGAAAATTACTTATTATGGAAATTCCCGTTGTAAGGCATTAAGCCCTTTGTAGAATAGAATACAATATAACCTCAGAACATTTTCTTTAAGCACAAAAATAGTAACAATCATAGCAGCTAATGTTTGCATTCTTACTGTATGCTAGGTGTACCCTAAGGTCTTCAAATGTATTAATTTATTTTAATGCCCACGACAACTTCATGACAGGTCCTGTTATTGCCCCTGCCCTTACGTGTGAGGAAACTGAGGTACACAGATTTTCATTAATTTGCCTAGAACTGCAGGAAATACGTAGTAGAGGCACTGTGAATCCCAAAACTGCATTCTTAGTCACCACTCTATTAACCAGAAAGCATGGAGAGCAGAGGACTTATTAACGTTCCTGGTTAATTTAAAATGTACAGGAAATAAGCCAGAGCCACACAGATGAGGGTCAGGAGACGAAACTTGGTGTCTAAATAGGGTGGGAGATCAGATTGGAGGGCGCTGCGTAAACCTGGAGTTTCTGAAAGGCAACACCTTCAATGGATGGACGAGGAAGAAAAGAAAACTGACCCTGCTGGGGCCGCCCGGCCTGCTGCGGCGTTGGCTCTGAGAGAAGCTGGGGAAGGAAAAGAAGCCCTTCCTTAGGAGCTCCTCACCCAAACCTGCCCTGCCTGCGTTTGAAAGCCGGAATCCATGCTACCACTGCGGTCTGAAAATTCAATTTAAAATGCTGTCGTGTCTGCGTCCACTTAGCAGAATCCAGTGAAATTATTATGTACACAAGGAAATAAGCCACCATGAGTTAGGTCTTTATATTCTAGGGGAACTGGGTAAACAGATTTTAGACTTGGTTAACTTAAAATACATGTGTTAAATTTCTAGGATAATCAATAAAAGAGAGTATATAATTCTGAATCAGTAGAGAGGAATAAGTTGGAGTGAGGATAAAGAAAATTTCAATCAATGCAAGCAAAGGCATAAAAGGGAGAAAATAAAAAGAAAAACAGAGGAAAAGAAGAGAAAGAAGGAAGGAAGGGAGGGAGGGAGATGGGAGAAAGTAAAAGAAGAAGAGATTAGAAATGAGCTCAGATATGTCATAATGAATGTACATGATTTTCTAGACTAAATTAAAGTTTTTCATTACCAGACTGGGTTAATTTATTGAACAGTCAAAAAGTATTTATTAAGTACATATTTATGCCATAAAATCTAGCTTTAGACTGTTTACAAAGTAACCACCTAAAATATAAGAATACTAAAAAGTTGAAAGTAATAGGATGGAGATATTTATACTGAGAAAATCCTAAACAGAAGAAAATTGGCAGTGCTATAGTTTAGAAACATCTCTCTTGTGGTATAATTAACTACACATATTTCAAGTGTACAATTTGATAAGTTTTTACACGTGCATATGCATGTGACACCATCACCACAATCAAGATAGCAAACATATCCGTCATCCCCAGAGTCTCCAGGTGGCCCTTGGTCATCCTCCCACCTGCCCCTCTGTACCCCCATCACAGTCCCCACTCTGTCACTATAGATTAGTTTGCATTTTCTAAAGTTTTATATAAATGGAACTGTGTAATGTCTACTCTACTGTCTTCTCTTACGCAGCATGATTTGTTCAAGATCCAGTCCATTCCTTTTTACTGAGAAATGGAATTCCACTGTGTGGATACTACAGTTTACCTGTTTACCTATTCATGCCCTTCTGGGTTTGTTTTTTTCCCTGAGGATTTGGCTATTGTGAGTAAAGCTGGTATGTACATTTGTACAAGTCTTGGTATGGATATCTGCTTTCATTTCTCTTAGAAAATATCTAGGAGTGGAACACCTGAGTCATGGTAGTTATGTGTTCAACTTTTTAAAAATGTTAGAAGGTTTTCCAAACTGTTTTCCAAAGTGATTGTACCATTTTATGTTCCCAGCAGTAGTGTCTGAGAGATCCAGCTCCTCCACATCCTTGCCAACACTTGGTATGGTCAGTCTTTTTAATTATAGATGTTATAGTAGGTACATACTGGTATCTCATGGTTTTAATTTGCATTTCCCCAATAACTAATGATGTTAAGATGTTGAGCATCTTTTTGTGTTCATTTAACATCTGCATGTATTCTTTGATAAAATAGCTATTCAAATACTTTAGCATTTTTACTTGTTTTCTTTTTCTTATTGAATTTTGAGAGTCTGTATATTCTGGATACAATTTTTTTTCAGCTATGTGATTTGCAGTTTTTTCCCCCACAATCGGTGGCTTGTTTTGCATTCTCCTAACAATGTCTTATGAAGAGTAGATGTTCTTAATTTTCATAAAATCCAGTTCACAGTTTTTTTCTTTGGTGTTATCTAAAGTTCTTTGCGTAACCCGAGTCATAAAGATTTTCTCCTACATTGTCTTCTCAGAGATTTAGAGCTAGGGTTTTATATTTAAATCTATGATCTGTTTGAGTTAATTTTTGTATATAGTGTGAGGTAAGGCTTGAATTTCTTTTTTTGCAGAAGGATATACAACTTATTTCTACTCTGATCATTATTTCTTTTCTTCTGCTTACACTGGGTTTAATTAGCTGATGTCATTAGTTTTAAGTCTTTCTTCTTTTCTAATGTATGTGTTTAGTACAATAAATTTCCCTCTATATACTATTTTAGCTATAATCCACAAATTTTGATATATTTGATATTTTGAGTTCAAAATATTTTCAAATTTTTCTTTTTGATTTCTTCTTTTTTTTGTTTTGCTGAGGAACATTTGCCCTGAGCTAACATCCATGCCAATCTTCCTCTATTTTTTCACTATGTGGGCTGCCAGCACAGCACAGCCACTGACAGAGCGGTGTAGGTCTGTGCCTGGGATCCGAACCTGGGCTGCCGAAGCAGAGCGTGCTGAACTTAACCACTAGGCCACCAAGGCTGGCCGTTTGATTTCCTCTTTTACCCATGGTTTTTTAGAGGTGGGTTGTTTAGTTTGCAAATATTTGGGACTTTTCAGAGATCTTTCTTATTTTATTTTTAATTTAACTCCATTGTGGTTGGAGAACCTACTTTGGATGACTTGAATCCTTTTAAATTTATTGAGACTTGTTTTATGACCCACAACAAGGTCTGTCTTGGTAAATGTTTCATATGTACTTAAAAAGAATGTCTATTCTGCTGTTCCTCTGTGGAGCATTCTACAAGGGTCATAGATCAAGTTGGATGATAGCATTGTTAAGTATTCTGTCTCCTTACTTATTTTCTCTCTACATATTCTGTCAGTAATTGAGGGGAGGCTGTTGAAATCTCAAAGTACAACTGTGGACTTGTCTATTTCTCCTTTCATTTCTATCATTCTTCGCTTTATGTATTTTGAAGTTCTGCTATTAGGTACATAAACATTTAAGATTGTTTATCATTTTGTTGAACTGCCCACTTTATCATTATGAAATGACTGTCTTTATCCATGGTAATTTTTTTTCCCTGAAATCTACTTTATTTGATGTTAATAGTGCCACTCCAGCTTTCTATTAGTTTTGGCATAGTATACCTCTTTCCATAATTCTTCATTTCATCTATTTGTCTCTTATATTTAAGTTGGTTTCTTACAAGCAGGATATAACTGGCTGTTGCAGTTTTATTCATCTGAAATCTCTACCTTTTTTGTCCATTTGGTGTTATTGATTTAAGTAGGATTGAATCTACCATCTTGCTGTTATTTTCTACTCATCCCATATGTTCTTTTTTCTTTTTTCTCCTGTTTTACTGCCTTCTTTTGCATTAATTGTGTATTTTTTTATGGTTCCATTTGTGTCCTTTGTCGATGTATTAGCTATCTGTATCTTCTTGTGTGATTTTAGAGGTTCCTTTAGGGTTCACAGTCCACATCTTTAACTTTTCACATTCAGCTTCAAGTGATATTCTGTGACTTCACATACACTGTAAGAGCCTGACAACACTGTGCTTCCATCTCTCTCCTCCTGTGTTTGTGCTGCTCTTATTAAACATTTTCCTCCTATGTGTATTATAAACCCACACTAACTTGTGATTGCTGATTATCAACACTCAGGGTCTTTTTAAAAAAAGATTTAAATAAAGAAAAAGTCTTTTAGATTTACTCGCTTAGTTGTCATTTCTAGTGCTCTTCATTCCTTTATGTAGATCCAGATTTCCATCTGCTATCATTTTTCTTTTGCTTAAAGGATTTCCTGTAACATTCTTAGTAGTGCAGGTTTTCTGGTAAAGAAATCTTTCAGTTTTTATTTACCTTCATTTTTGATGGACTCTTTTACTTTGTTCAGAATTCAAGTTGGGTTTCTTTCCTTTAAGTGTTTACAGATGTTGTTCCACTGTCTTCTGGTTTGAATGATTTCCAATGAAAAATCGCCTGTTTTCCTTATCTTTATTTCTCTGTACAAAATAAGTCTTTTTCTTCCCTGGCTGCTTTAAAGGTCTTCTCTTTATCACTGGTTTTGAGCAATTGATTGCACTTTAACTTGATGGCATTTTCTTCATATCTTTTATGCTTGAGATTCTTGGATCTGTGGGTATATGGTTTTCATCAAATTTGAAAAAATTTTGCTCATTACTTCTTCAAAAA